TCAGAAAAATGTGGACGATATGCGCCGCAAAACGTCTTTATACGTACGTTTTGCGGTACGGACGTTTTGCGGTGTTACAGTGCACTTTCCGGTTAAGTGAGAGTGTTTCGAAGAGTCGGTCTCTTAAATTTCTCCCTCAAAATTGTAAACACCTGAAAAGTAACACACAGAAAGTCTTTCGAAGTCATTTGGCGGTACACAAATGTCAAATGTTAATTTTAAAATTAAAGGTCGGCCAACACTGCAAAATTGAAAATGCAGGATAAGATTAAGCTTGTTTTTTTACGCAGAGATACGCTCACACCCACTTAGCACCGGTTTAAGCAGAATTCGTCATTAAACATCAAATAAGTGTTTATTTTACTTGCAGAATCTGTAGCGTACGGCCCCCAACATTGGACGGAAATTCATGAAATGAAATTTTAAATGGGGATCGGAAATTATGAAGAATGTTTATAAAAGAAACCCAAAGAAAGAGAAAACAACCAAAAGTCGAGCATTTAATGCGTCCTCCCGCTGCTGCGGAAGTTAATGCACAAAAAAGGTTCATTAACTCTCTTTTATGTATGCTCACAGGAATTCAGCTCGTGCGTTAAAACCCAGAAGAAAAAAAAAATAGAAAAAAAAAACACTCATGCAACATTCCGCCCTGTATCTTAGAGTTTATTGACATTTACTTATGCAAACGTTACATGCATCAGTTTGAAATAATATCAAACAAAATGACAAAACACATTTTGAAATAAAAAATGACAAAATAACTACATTTTCACCCTTAATTTATTGCTCAAATATATTAAAGTTGAAATACGATTTGTTATAACACCAGTAAACTTTATTGGCGTCCGCGTCGAAGCACGACACCCTTTATGGAATGAAAAGAGCATTTGCAACTTCTCGGGCCTTTTCGTCTGTCATTATAGCCGATCATTCCAATTGATATGAGGGTGTTTGATTATCAAAAATGAAATGTCGCGATATGTACAGCGAACTGGAGAATTTCGCAATGCAAACATATTCAAATTGTTTTATGCGCTCTTCGGTTTTTTATTTATCATGTGGGTTATTATGTATGTTACTGCTGTACCTATATATTGAATGACCTTAACATTGTGAAAGTCCGAAAATCTATTTATAGAAGTAGTTTTAGTTTAACGAAACTTTCATTCGTGTCGCGCAATGGTAATGAATAACGACCTGGAGAATTTTGCAGGAAATGAAATGCTAACATATTCAAACAATTAGCAGCACTCTTTATAAATCTATAGAAAAGAAAAATTCTATTGAATTGTTATATCATAGTATTATCTTTTTGAAATTATCTTTTCCGTAGGTCTCTAGCTCTGGTTTTCTTTTTTACTGCCTGATTGTACTTATGACATTTTACCGTGAATATTTAAATAGACCTAGTTCATAACTTTAAATTTTGCTTTTTGACGTTGTGCGACAGTTAACATGTCTAGCAGTAGTATACTATAGTTCAAGTCTCTTTAGCTAACTGTTCTATATTTTGTTTGAAGGCAATCTATTTTATGGTAATTTGAGTGGAATGTTCATTTGCCTAATATTGTGATATTTTAACAACAGAAACTTTGTTATGTAAACACACTGGTGGGTCAGACGAGGTTTTTGAAGTAATTCTTTAAAATAGTAGATTGACCTTTCAATAAATCAATTAAGCAGACTTTATTCATTTTGACCACTATTTTGTATATTTTAAAGAAAATACCACATGAACTTGAAATTCTATCAAGTAACCAATATTAATGATAATACCCAAAAATCCCCCCAATATAATATAAATAAACTGAAACTATATATTGGTGGGGGGGGGGTATATGGGTATATTTTGGATATTATAGACCTGTATATTTTGGATATTATCGTTAATATTGATAGAATTTTAAGTTCCTGTGGAAAAAACTAATATTCTAATCTCTAGCATGCCTACCAAAGTTCATGATGAACAATGTCTTATGTCTGCCCATTCACAAATGATATACAATTTTGGTGAAAAACAATTAACCATTGAAAAGTTTATAAGAATATCTGGTCATCAGATGTCTACTAGTTCATCTTCACTTGCTGCATTTCTTGCTTGGACGTATTAAAAAATGAACAAAGGGCAAAAACTCCAAATTTAGGCATGGCAGAGTTATGTTTTTTTTGCTCTGCACTTTTTTTCAGTGAGATCTTTCTATCTATACAGTTTCGTGATGATATCTCGTATAGTTTCAGAGTTATGTCCCGGGTAAAATTCAAAGTGTAAAAATGAAGAAAGAAAACTCCAAAATAAGACAAGGCTTTGTTTAGGTTCTTTACCACTGCAGTTCTATCCAATGAGATCTATCTACCTACAAAGTTTCATGTTGATATCTCGGACAAAAGTCAAAACGTTAAATTGAATAAAGGGAAATAACTTCATAAATAGGCAAGGCAGAGTTATGGTTCTTTAGCACTGTACTTCTTCCCAATAAGACCTATCTACTTACAAAGTTTCATTATGATATCTCTTATACTTTTAGAGTTATGTCCCGACAAAATTCAAAGTGTGAAAATAAACAAAGGGCAATAATTCAAAACTTAGGCACGGCAAAGTTACGGTTCTTGTGCACTACAAACCTACTCAATGAGATCTATCTATCTGCAAAGTTTAAGTTTCATGTTGATAACTCTTATAGTTCCAGAGTTCAAATTGTAAAATTAAAAAAAGGACAAAAATTCAAGTATTAGGCAAGACAGAGTTACGGTTCTTGTGCACTGCACACCGACTTAATGAGATCTATCTACCTACAAAGTTTCACGTTGATACCTCTTATAATTTTAGAGTTATGTCCATCTATCTACCTACAAAGTTTCACGTTGATACCTCTTATACTTTTAGAGTTATGTCCCGGACAAAGTTCAAAGTGTAAAAATAAACAAAGGGCAATAGTTCAAAAATTTGGCAAGGCAGATTTATGGTTCTTGTGCACTGCATACCTACTCAATGTGATCTATCTACCTACAAAATTGCATGTTGATCCTTCTTGTTGTTTCAACGTTATGTCCCGGACAAGAAAAACGGACGGACGGATGGACGGACGGACAAAGCAGCGACTATATGCTCAAATGTTTGACAAGTTTTGTGTGTACTGTGATGATATGTGTAGTCCTCCATGAAATTATTAAATGTCTAATATAAATACCGCCTTTTAATTATCATGTCATGTGATTAGTCATTTATCATTTTTATTACGTCTTTAATGACAAGTTACAAAATAAAATTGTGGCCTGTTTTATACTTTAAAGTAGTAAAGTAGTTCAAGTAAGGGTAACGACATACATATATAATAATGAGGAAACCACTAATAATTTATGGACAAAACAGAGATTTTTTACCTGACGTTGAATGTTTAAAGTGTTTACTATATTGCTGACAGTTATTATCTTTTCCAAAATTCGTTACAGGAAGATAATGTAACTTGTCTTTCTTCCAGACTTTAACTAAATGTTCTTTTGAAATCAGCTCTTTTAAATGTTTATCACTGCATTGATGACAAAAATATTCCACACAAGTTTGACAGAAATAATGTGCCGCTACGTGTACGTCTTTTATTCGACATAGATACTAATTTCCCGTGTGTCAATAGTCCATTACAAAATTAGTGCAGTAACGGGCTAACTTCTATTAAACTTTAAAAGGAGTTAACCTGTTTCTGCACTAATTAGGTGATTATATGTTTCTTTTCATTGCGTGTCGATAGTCCATTAAGAATTGTACTTTTTGGGATATCGATATTTGTTTTATCCCAGTAAAATAATAATAATAAGCATCTCCGCTTGGTATAAATGGTTTCATAAAGTTTTGTTGAATTACAGCCGAAGTTGCAGATAAATAGCACAGAAACGAAATTCAGACTATATGCATACTGCATAACTAATCAAGGGCCATAACTCTGTGTTGAAGGGTCTGACAAAAACAAGGCGCCTCTTGGTATTGATAGCTCCCATGTTCCGTGGAAATTCAGCCAGTAGTTGCAGAGAAGTAGCGCGGAAACGATTTTTGCCCTAACTATATACTGTATAACTAATCAAGGGCAATAACTCTATATTGAAGGGTCTGACTAAAATCAAGGCGAGAATATACCCATTTCCTCTTGGTTTTGATGGTTCCCATAAAATTTCGTTGAATGAGAAATAGCGGAGAAAAGAATTTCGGACTATATGCATACTGCATAACTAATTAAGGGTGACGATATGCACATCTCCTCTTGGTATTGATGGTTTCCATGAAGTTTCAATGAATTCCAGCCAGTTATTGCAGAGAAATAGCACGGAAACGAAATTCAGACTTTATGCATACTGCATAACTAATCAAGGGCCATAATTCTGTGTCATCGCCGAACAAGGGGACGATATGCGCATCTCCTCTTGGTATTGATGGTTCAAATAAAGTTTCGTTGAATTTAAGCAAGAAGCTGCAAAGAAATAGCGCGGAAACGAAATTCGAATGGACGGATGGACGGACGTACAACGCCAAAACAATATCACCCTCCAGATTCCATCGGCGGGGATAATAAATTTATAGATATAAAAGTAAACAGACCATTATCTGTTTACTTATTATTATGGTTGTAGTAACCAAGTACGAAATGTTTAAGTTTGTAATTTTTAACCAGTAGGCTTTCTTTAATATTATTATAATTGTCAGACATACTTTTAATCATAATTTTACAGAAATAGACTTTATCTTTATATGGAAGTCAAATATATATATGTACATTATCTTATATGTACATTATCAAAGATCACACTCTGTGTTTGTTTACATCTAAAACCACGTGTTAGAGCTACTTTTAATCCATATTATGTCCGAGGTTATGAGTCGTTCCGATTGTGAGACTTATTAATATACAGTAACGCACATGGCAATAATTGTATACTGGACTGAATAATATAACAATTTTCTTTCACACCTTTTTAAATATAAACAATGCACGTTCAGCATTTGAACAATGTCTTGTTCTTATCAATTTAATTAGCCTTGTGTCCATTTTAAGAGTTCAAATAATTCATATAATAAAATATAAAATAGATAAAATAATACTTTATACACTGGTGTGAACTTTAAATCTCTCAGTAAATTTGTGACGTAGGAATGATATCAGAATGCTTAGCACACAACAATTTTGAAACAAATTACTTTTTGGAAAATAGAATTGATCTATTTCAGCATTAATTTGGTGAATGTAATGTATTAGTCTTTAATATGTAACCCATGTTTAATGTTGCCACAATAAATTTTTTTATGAATTCACAAGCCTAATAAAAACTTTTAATTCATAGATACAAAATGCGTCAACTTAAAGATTCGTTTAATCTGTATCCAAATTAAAACAGAGGTGCACGAACTTTTAATGAAGAATTTTATGTGAAAACTGCCCCAGAAAAGAAAAGTTCACAACGCAGTTTAAAAAAGGACATAAAAAGAACGAATTTCCTGTTTTGATTCACAAAATATGTAACTATAACATCAATTTGCTTTGTTTTGACATTAATAAAGCAAGGAATGTTTTTATTTATAGCAATGACCTTCTGCAGATCTTCTTATAGCGTACATTAGAGGTGAATACAATGAGTGACCTTGTCAACGATAAACGAAAGCGTTGCGTCAATCTTCCGTTCCTTCATTGAAGTCACGATTCCACACTTTATTATCCAGTTCTCTTTCTACGTCTTATATAGTCTCAAATAACCTTTTTTCATAGCTTTGGAGAGTTAAAAAAATATGATAAACAAGATCAACAAGGAAAGGCGGCGTTCAATGAACGCAACCCCCACTCGACCCAGCAACAAGAACCACTGGTAGGGGATTCGTAGGACCCAAAAAAAACACAGGGCAGGATTTCAAAGGGTACAAAGTTTCTAAATGAATGAAACAATAAACGATAAAAGCGTGGTGACATTCCTCGCAAAATAATTCATAAGAATTATATTGAAGATAGAGTCTGAAATACAGCAGTGTTATGATGCCAACAGAGTTTCGACAGGAAATTTTATGGTCTGTAAATATACAAAATAAAATGCAAAATAGTCAATAAAGCTTTTTTCTCACATTTCTGAAATGGTTCACGCGCTGGGGCATTTATTCGATTTCAGTGACATTTCATGAATAAAATAACATTATAAAATGCACCGGAAGACGTATTTCCATTAAAATTTCACGATGAATAACTGACGGATTGTGCAATATGGCTTACAAAAAACTTTTCATCAAGGATGCGTTTTTTTCTCAATTAGTCTGATGAAGTTCGTCATATTCTTGTGTAAACTAACAGCGTCATGAGTCAACAGAACATATCGTCCTTCTCCGGCCTCACATCTCCTGCCACTCTCGAAAAAGAATATTTTATCGTCCATACTTCCGTATTTCCTGATACATGTAAACGGCCAACAAAAAGTCACGTGATTCGCTATTTCCGTTATTGCAATACTGCAGCTGTCTAAACGTATGGTGCACTTTCCGGTCAGGTGAGAGTGTTTCGAAGAGTCGGTTTCTAAAATTTCTCCCTCAAAATCGTAAACATCTGAAAAATAACAAACAGAAAGTCAGCGACTTGATTCTTTCGAAAACCTTTTGGTGTTTTACAAAAACAATACATAATAAAATGGTAACTATAAATCTAAAGGTCGCTCAGTTTGATTGAACTTGTCCTTTTACGACAGAGATAAATGTAAGATGCCACTCACACCCCTATGCACCGGCTTAAGCAGAATTCGTCATTAAACATCAAATAAGTGTTTATTTTACAAACAAGCACAATCTGCAGCGTATGGTTCCCAACATCAGACGGAAGTTAATAACATGGAATCGTAACAGGGGAACGGAAATTTTGAAGAATGTTTATTACAAGCACCTAAAAAAAAGGAGAAAAACAATAAAAAAAGGTAACATTTCCTAAGAGCGATTCAAAAATATTCACACTGGAATTCAGGAGCCATCAAACGAGAAGGAAGTTGAAATTATGCAGAAGAACCTGAAGAAAGTGCTACAAAACGATCTTCAAAAGTTTTCCATATGCAGTATACACGCTTTCTTAATGTACTTTTTTCATGCATTAACATATGCAGATGCCCTTAGACTTTATTTAACCCCACGCCCTCGCGGGCTTGAGCTTTAAATGCGGGCTTGAGGTTTAAACGTGTCCACTCGCTGCTGCAGAAGTAACTTCACGAAAAAAGTTCATTAACTCCTTTTTTAGGCTTGCGGGGAATGCAACTGGTACGAATAGAAAAAAGAAAAACACATATGAAACATTCCCTATACCTTGGAGATATTCATTGACAGTTAACTATGCAGATGTTACGTGATGATATCAAACAAAATGACAAAATACATTTTGAAAAAGTTCATTACCATGAACAATGACGCAGAAAAATCTGTACATTTTCAATTCAAACATACTTTAAGTTAAAAATACGCTTTGTTATAACACCAGTAAAGTTTATAATTTATGTAATAAAATATATGCCGTTCTGTTCTGATAAAATCATTAAAAATAAGTGAATTGGTCTATAATGGAAGGTTTGTAATACCATAACATTTTTTTTTAAAAAATATCCAGATGACGTTTTTTTATCACTATTTGAAAATCCTATTGAAAATATTATAACTATAAGATGATATCAAAAATTGTTGAACATGTATTGTAAAATTGAATTCTATCATATCGTCATCTGGTTCCTTTGTATTGAATATGTTAACAATTCTTAAAAAATGTTTGACAAGTTTTGTGTATGATGATATGTATAGTCCATCATGAAATTATTTAATTAATGTCTAATATAAATAACACCATATAATGATGCCATATGATTGGTTATGTAATAGAAAGAGCATCGAAACACGAAGCTATCTGATTTGTACGAGGGGGCGTAGCCCCCCCCCCCAAGTATTAATCAGAGTGCCTACTGTTTTGATGTTCTTTCTCTTTTGTAGCATAGTCAAACATAAACACACGTTCCCTGTTGTCACAATATGAAACCCCGAGAAAAAGTAACCAATGAACGAGCATCTGAATATGATATTTCTGTCGCTTTCCCTTTCTCTTCCGTTACAATAAGTAAACCCCAGCAAAAATGAGCCAATCAATGGGCATGCTCTGGAGTGCTGCACTCCAGTTTGCACTCCAGTTAACACACTGTAAATTTATATGTATACGATTTAACTCTGACACATTTTCAACTGAAAGGTCCCCAAACTATGATACAATTATCATTTGTATCACGTGTTTAATGAGAAGTTACAAAATAAAATTGTGACCTGTTTTGTACTTTAAAGTAGTAAAGTAGTTCAAGTAAGGGTAACGACATACATAATGAGGAAACCACTTATAATTAATGGACAAAACAGAGATTTTTTTACCTGACGTAGAATATTTAAAGTGTTCACTATATTGCTGACAGTTATTATCTTTTCCAAAATTCGTTACAGGAAGATAATGTAACTTGTCTTTCTTCCATACTTTAACTAAATGTCCTTTTGAAATCAGCTCTTTTAAATGTTTATCACTGCATTGATGACAAAAATATTCCACACAAGTTTGACAGAAATAATGTGCAGCTACGTGTTCGTCTTTTATTCGACATGGATCGCAATTTCCCGTGTGTCGATTGTCCATAACAAAACTGTACCTTTTGGGATATCGATAGATCGGTTATACTAATAAGAAATAGCAAGAGAATATCGTCATCTGAGTGCAGAGACTGGTTAACTCCTATAATTATTTACAATTTTTTTGTTAAGGATATAAATTTACCACTCAAAAGTATTTAACATGAACTTACATTAATTTAAAGAACTTAATATATATTCAATAAAGTTTATAAAAAGGCCTCAGGATGAAACACATTGAAGTAACTGTAAGATTTTGCGTAAAGATGTAACCACTAGTACATGTAGTTCATTGTCCGTTTCATAAAATGATTTAATTAACATCTGCCGTGTAAATATATAAGAAATAGATAACACCGAAAACATTGAAACTGGATATGGCTTAAAACTAGCTCAAACAAAAAAAAAAACGTTCGAGATTTAATTGGTTGTAATTGACATATGTTTATTGCCCTTGGATCAAAGTTAGTTGTAACAGAACAGGACATAAAAGATTTCATTAAGGCTTTTAAAAGTGCACAGCTCGTTATCACAATAATTCAAAATCATACATGTACATACTAATGCATTATAAAAGTTTACTTTAAGTTTACTTAGAAACAAAAATGTAAAGTTTACTAAGAAACAAATAAAGTTATCAATATCGATACCGGTACATTGTACATGAATTGAGAGAAAATATATTATCATAAATCTATTAACATTTTTGAGATTTACAACGCATTTCTGTGGGTAAAATACTTTTATGTCAGAAATAGATCAAAATCTACGAAATTCTTAATGAATGTGTCTTATTTGAATAAGAGAATGCACAAAGTATATTTGGCAAGCTGGATTCCCTATTTCTGGTCAAGTTAATTTGGTAATTTCTCAGTTTCTTAAACGAAACTATGTAATCAAACTATGTTTACCTATAGTATGTGGAGTTTAAAACGTAATATATCTTCTCTGTATATATACAACATATCTGTTTATTTTACATTTAAAAAGAGATTGTGTAGAAATTATCAGTATTTTCAAATATCAAATTTGAGCATAATATATTTTGAAAAGTTAAAAAAAAACACTGATTATGTTTATAGTAATCGAACGAGTCTATATCTTTTATCTATGCCTGTGAAATGTTACGTAAAGTGAAAATATGAAACCTGTAGCATGGTACTAGATAATAAGAAATAATTATAACAAATGTAGCTTTAATTTATTAAAGAGGAGTGTGAAAATTTTATCAGAACAGTACAATAGAAAATCATATTGAACTTAATAATAATGCAACAAACAAGTAAGCTAAATACACAGAGGCTATTCAAGTTTTTTCTATGATTTATAAAGGATTTATTTTCATTGAGTGGTATGAAAATAAATATTTCATTATTGGCTGTAGCCATGAATGAAATATGATAATTTTCAGATCACAAGATGAAAATAAAACCTGTATGTATAGAAAAAACTTGAAATGTATGTTTATTCTATACATTGTTTCTCTTTTTGACATTACAATTTGAAAGACGTTCCCTTAAATGTTGTGTACTTGCATAATTAAAAAGAACGTAGTCCGACAAAACACCATTTAAGATATGGAAAATATGTTTCATTGCAGAGAAAATTTTTTTTAGTAAAAATACGGAAAATGAAAATACGCATTTTATTTCATCAATTTTGCTCAATATTTCATTTATAAGTATATAATAAAACAGTGATTTAAGTGACAAGGGACATATATTGTTAGAAATAAGTAATAAACATGATATATATTGTTAGGAGATAATATTTGATTTGTTTTGGTACATAATAGCTTCAGGCGGTTTATGAAGTATCACTCTAATTGTCAATTTGAAACAGACTATTGTAAGAATTCGGTGTTACTACGTTGTTACTACCTCATCTCTACCGCAAGTTATCAAAACAATTCATTGTCCATGTTTTTAGAGAGAGAAAATTTGTTGCAAAGTGTAAACAAGTGATTTGTCATCATTAATTAAAGAAAATTTAAGAAATTTTTTTTTACAAATTTTTTTTTTATATTTTATAGTATATATTATCTGGGCGTCCGTGGCCGAGTGGTTAAGGTCGTTGACTTCAAACCACTTGCCCCTCACCGCTATGGGTTCGAATCCCGACAGGGACTTTGGATTCTTTCATGTGAGGAAGCTATCCAGCTAGCTTACGGAACGTCGGTAGTTCTACTCAGGGGCCCGTTCGTGCCTGAAATAATGCACGGAAGGGCACCTGAGGTCTTCCTCCACCAGTTAAGCTGGAACGTCGCGATATGACCTATACTGTGTCGATGTGACGTAAAAAAAAAAACCCCAAAAAAACAAAAACAAACAATATATTATCTAAGATGCAGAGGGAATTTAACATGTTTAAAATATAATTATTTTGAATTCTATTGGAGTTTTTTCTATCCTTTAAGTTGTGGTGCTATTTTTGAAATGGATATGTAATCAGATATTGATAAAAAAAAAAATTGCAAATATTACATCGAACAACAAAAATAAATTCATAGACTGAATTTTCATTTCCTTTATAATTGAAACAATTATCCGAACTTAACATGAATGTCTACATCAAGGGTTATTTGAACAGTTGTTAACTCAACTGACAAATATCGAAATGTTGTATAGCAAAGTCTATAACAAATTTGTTGCGCTACATTTTTTTTCAGTGAGGTAATAAAATAAAAAAATAATTTATAAATTTACAGCTGCCGTGTAAATGGACAATGTAAAGGTAATTGTTGTCAGTGAAACTCAATGTTATACAGTATCGTAAAAGTACATTATAAAATTTAAAATTATCATTCTTGATAGCATGAAAGTAGATTTTAAATTAATGAAAAACGGTTATTTAAATAATTGAAAGAACACAACATGTAAGTGGAAACATGTCCACAAAGTTGCAACCTGAAAGGTCCTTTACAAGTGAAATTACAAATGCAATGTTATCTCTAGTTCAAACAAGCATGAATTATGTTCCAAGTGGAAATATGATAAAGCAATTGCGACATTATTATTCCATTACAACTCTAGCCACAACAAAATTAAATTTCAAATTGATAGAACTTTAAGAGTACTACCTGAAAAAATATTCAGATTACTTTAACGTTACAAAGTCTAATACAACTGAAATTTAATCAACTTTTACTGTTATTTCTAACTAATTCTTATAATTGCGACATAAGAAAATAGAGAAAAACAGTAACCATAGAGAACGCCCCAAAACACAAAATTAAAAACGTTGCAGGGTCGTTGATTTACCTGTTTATGACGGGGACTGGGGAAAAGCAAATTTTCGGTCCAGCCCCTAAACCCGGCTTATCAGATTTTAAAAATTAAACTAAAATGGTAAAATTTTTGAAATTTAAAAAGCATCCGCAAAAATGAGAGCTCGCGGTTATTTAAAAAACAACAATTTTTTCCCAAAACTTACATATTCTAATTCATATAATTTAAGTACTAATGGAAATATGCTAAATATATATACGAGTAATTATATTATCAAACACCGATACAAATGTAACCCTAATTACGTTAGTTTATACATCGAGATATAAAAATTCCAAAACTCGATTAAAACCAAATCATTGTTTCAACATTTAATATAATTTCTTATCATATGCTTAAGGTATATATACTCAATCGAAACATGCTTAATAATTGATTGTAATATAAAACTCAAATTCAACTGAATCTTCACCAATGTATCATGACACATAAAATTTAAAAATTACTGATGTGCTAAAAATAATGTATCGCTGATGTTATTATAATTCGAACATAAGTGTAAAATCACCATATTTAAAATCATATAAGCCTATTTTCATAATCATATAGTATAAAAAGTATACTTAATATTGTTACTTTTATTTTCTATCTCATTCAACCCCGTTTAAATATATTTATTTTCCCCTCGACACATGTGCATCAATTATTTCATAATCAAAATGAATAAAACTGACAAAAGGAAAGATACCTTCAATACAAAATTATATAAGACGACAAAGCTTACGTAGGTTAATATATTAAAACTAGATATATAAAAAAGCAAAATAAATCAAAAGTCAAAACCAAATAATACTTTTCGAAATTTTGTTAATTTTAGATCAATATTGAAATATGAAACGTGAAATAACAAAGACGAAACTTCATCATGGAATGAAATTAATAAATTAAGTGCCATGCTTGTTTTCCAATCCATGTACATGTATATGATATATGATTGTAAATTTGCTAAATAAAATATGTTTAAACTAAGCTGAAATATTTCTACTTATGTATCTGAAAGACTGCGTATAAAGCAATTACTATCATGCAATGACCTATTAAAGGAAATCATCTTTTGTAATTTGTTACTCGCGAAGTTCTACAATGTAATGATCGAGTCTTCGATATATATTAATGACGGAAGACGGGCAGATTTACAAAACAGCTTTTATCTTATATAATGTCAAAGAATAATTTACTGCATTCTTATTCATTAATTGGTAATTATAATGCAATTATAAAGTAATCTTAACGTCATTAATATTTTAAAGAATTTTCTTACATATCCTGAGCTCAATTAACATTGAAAACTTTTAGCTGTTTTGGAGAAAACTGCCAAATTTCCTTTTTACGTGATATTATAAACGTTTGTACTGGTTAAGAAATGCAAGAACCTTTAATCAAACTGAAACGAATATAAGTTTTATTTCAAACTTCATGTTTATTTCCTAATTTTTATTCTTTTTTATCTACTACATTTGTTGCAAAATGAGGTTTTAAAAGAAGACATTATTTACAAAGTTACGGTAAATAAATCATGATTAATAAAAATGTTACAAATAAATGATAAAAATAATGAGGTTGCAGTCTAAATTAATTATCAATTTATTATTTCATTACGAACCTAGATTTAATTTATTTTCATCTTGATTTAGAATGACAGAGTGCGTGCATTTGTAGCTTGTATTGAACTGGAGTTAAGTCCTCCTTGATACCGATGCATTTCTAATAGTTTTTGCATTATCTCATGTTTGTCTTTTTTATACATTGAGTGGACATAAAGATTTCTGTCTGTCAATGTGTCTGTCTATTCTTGTAGATTTTACATATCATATGAAATAAGTTTTACGGTTAGTAAGTATACATGTACATATATTTAGTTTACTTTATTTGGTTGCTTTAATAAAATATTTAAGAAGCGCTAAGTCTTCAAAGATAATTCAAATCTTATGATCGCAAACCTTGAAAAACAATTTCTATACATATTATCAAATACTAATTATTTTATGATCTTTATTCCAATAATGATGATTATGAAAATGAGTTTGATATAATGATGTTGATTTTCCTTCAAAACAAAAAAAACAAAAAACAAATCGACATCAATAAACATCTGAGTGAAATGGTAAAAATATATATATTTCAGTATACTATTAAGATCATTTAAAAAGCAATGGAAAAACAATGATAAGAATTACCCAAATCTGACTCTACTCTACTGCTCCCATATCTGTCAGGCTCATGCATGGCATTGATGTTACTTTTTGTAACTTTCGATGATAAATCACTCCATCTTTGCTTCCATTTTTGAACCGTATGCCCCATTGTTAGTCGAAACTTAAGATGCTGTTTACGGCATTGTTTGCAATAGTATTCCAGGCAATTTTGACAAAAATAGTCTGCAGTTACATGTTTATCCCTGAACCGACAAGGATCACAAATTTTGTTTCGTTTAGAGTCCATTGTGGCATTCCCCATTCGTTCTCACGCTGTATCAAACAAGAAATATTTAAGTTTACAAAATCTACTTTCTTTTGTTATAAGTGACACATTGTTAACTTTCATTCGTTGAAAACGTATCGTTTTCAAAATACATCCGGTTTTAAAAAACAAGAACTAATGAAAATTAATGTGACGCTTTTTCTCGACCTTGCGACGTTCTGAATACGTAAATAAGATAATTTAGAAATTGCGACTTACATAACCGAAGACGAGATACAAAACCAAACTTATATAACTGAGAAAAAAATCAAACTTATATAACTGAAAAAAAAACAACAACAAACCCCCAAAAAGTAAAACAAAATAGATAATAAAAACGCCCATTAACTTAAAAATTCAAGATAACTTGACAAAGATTGAATGAACTTGTCAGCAGACCTGTACAGGTCAGCAGAACTGTACAGTACTGATTTTAAAACTTGTCAAAGTAAACGAAATAAACATATAAAAAATTAATGTGACATTAGAAAAAAATATATTATGCTTGATCTATGTCGTTGCCCTTGAATTTGTAACGAGTGCAAATAAATTAATCATATGTTATATTTGGTGACACCTGGCTATAAATATTATCATTTCATTCATATTTACTTCATTCATATTTTCAGTCAGATCTAAACTCTTTGATACCAAATTTGTAAGGGTAATTTTTAAAAAAGCTCATTTTTTTTTCATTATGTTCAGTCTATAAGGTTACAAACATAATTCTCATTTCTAATAATTAATTTCCAAGCCTTTTTACCAAATTTTCACATTAAACTTTTAACTCAATATGACACTATTTGGCCTACGTAAAGTTTCATTCACAAGTTTATAACTTATGCCAAGTTAATTAAAACTCGAATGGTACATTTTTCAGACAAGACAAATGAATATCCTCGTACTTAAACCTGACAATTAATCTTATAATGAAAACAGAAACACATTTGTATTCAACGATCCCATGATGACACAAAGGCGTATCCAAATAGTAAAATTTGTTCAGGTAAGGAGTGGCTTAAAACGACTCAAAATGGAAACAAAAATGATGCGAAAAATAGACATTGTTATAGTTATATTTTGAGGCTCTAACAGGGTAATTCGATTAAAACATCCAGAAGTTGGTATGAAAAGGTCGGGGTTTCATCCAGAAGTTGGTATGAAAAGGTCGGGGTTTCATCCAGAAGTTGGTATGAAAAGGTCGGGGTTTCATCCAGAAGTTGGTATGAAAAGGTCGGGGTTTCATCCCTCACATCTTGTATCTATATAATATACTATCATTCATATTTTACAGATACATTATGTATATTATGCCCAATTTTGTTATTTGATAATTGCTACATGGCCTTTTTGTAAATATAAAATAGACATTTTTTTTACTTCACACTATGTACATACTACAATGTATAAGTGGACACACTATGAATATACTCGTAGAGTGTAATTAAAAAAAACTAGCAGTTTTTTTAAAGAAAAAACCAGCTTTACTTGATGACTTGTAATAAGAAACGCAGATTCCCATACACAGCCTGTACGTTTGTTTATTTAAATAAGATATATTCAGTAAGAAATGAATAGATTTCATTAAGTTTCTGCAATAAAAATATTTTACTCAAAGATGAGCATAATATATCTTAAATATCAAAATACATATTATATTAATATACGCAATTGCACTAATATTCAAAGTATTCATGAAACATTATATATTATATAATTTAGAAAGCAATTGTCGGAAGTTAAATAGTATGAGGAGAACACATTCGTTTAATATGATTTCTCATTACAGTAAGCACATTGTTAATTATAGTGTAGTTATTTAATAAATGATCTAGCTTAAACAAATTAACGTTTATCAATATTCCATGCTAACTTTAAAATCCATTATGCTTCAGAAATGCATTTATTTATATATCTTTTTTATTTATTTTTGGTGTCTCCTATAGTATCCAAAAAGTAACTCATTGGCCAATCAACGGAACCATCTTTTACATCAGATGGTTTTGTTTTGCAATGTGTACAATTACAGTGATTTAGTATTTTGTAGTGAGACAACTTTGTTTAAATTTTGCCACATTATGACAAATTATTTCACATTTATAGCTACTTAGTTCAGGTAACAAGCATCTTACTTTCTCTAAAACCAATATTTCAACATTATAAAATTCTTGTGATTTTGTTTCTGAGGAATAATGTTCCTTTATGATACTTACAACACGTAAGTTCCTTTTTGTTCTTGAATGATTAGTACATATGTACATACAATGTATTTACTATAGGTTCATTAACATACTTGTTATTGTTATTTATGAATAAAGGTAATTTGATGTAATTCGGTATTGAAATTTTAGTATTTCGTAACCTTTTGCATAAAGAATTGTTTTGTCTTTTGCGAAATATTAACTTGTTTGTATGTTCCTTGTTCATACAATTTAAATCTACAAATTCACCCTGTAAATTATTAATAAATATTCTATTTGTTATTTTATCAGAAGTAAGATTTTAAGTATATTAGAGTATAGATTGGGAAATAGCAATAAATCAATCAATAAAATATTTTTCACTTTTTCCTTGATTTTCTGATTATATTGGCTAATGTTCTCCAACGCTTCAACTAATTTCCAAATGCTTTTCATTCAAAAAAAAAAATAAAATAAAAAAATGTAAGTTCTGTTAGGCGAATCCTAAAACTTTCCTATTTGAGAAATATGCTTAATTATAAGTAATCAACTTCCATTTACATATCTTCCATTAGATGGTGAATCAAGTAACACATGCATGTGGAATATCATTAAATCGAGGCTCTATGATTGAGTTTATCCGAAGAAAGACAATTTTACTTTTTCATGAACAAAGATCCTTGAACAAAATCTATGCATTGATCAAGTAAAGATACACATTTAAAATGGGATCAGTAAAGATAACCCGGCAAGACAACATTGAAAATGTTGCTGGTTGTGTGGATGAGCAACTGTAAGGACGGTAGAAGTAAACGGAAGCTACCGACCAAGCCCCCAGCATCGGCATTTTAACAGAATTAAAAATTTGAAACTGGTGAAAATTTGGATTTTCAATTAGTGAAATCCACAGATGTGTTCATACGTAGCTATGGTAATAAATTTACTTACTTTTTATTCATACATGACATAATTATTATTCATTAACATATAAATTACATTAATTTACAACACCGAACATATTTTGAGTATCCATTATCAGTTTTAAGACCGAAAATTACATTTGATTTATATACTGACTTGAAGGCATTCTGATTCATCGCTTGTAATGATAACAAGTACAGAATTATTTTTATTCACAAGCATTGCACTAGAGTTCAGTTTCATTTTGTTGCAAAAAACTCCTTTTACTATCGGATGTTATCATATCAAAAATACTTAACAATGTTGTTATTACAACATGATTGACTATGTTTCCCTAGTTTATACATGTAAAATAATTTACTTTAAGAAAATGTTTATATGCTACGTACACCAGAGTGTTGCTTGATATATATAAGGATACGAGCATCTGGCCCTCTAGTTGAAAAATATATGGCATAATAATAACACTAAATACACCCGCATTAATTATGTTGTTCATGCTTTTTGATGAAAAACACGAAATGCCAGTTTATTTTTTCTCAGGCACAATCTGGAATTTTATTATAATAATTGCACTTCTGTAAACTGCCAATTTGATTTGTTGGAGATATTATATTTGGTATTGCTTTGCCTTACAAAATAAGGAATTTTGTTTAAGAAAGACATGCAAAAAATCAAATGCATTTTGAATCTGACCTTACTGCCAAGTGCATGTATGATATTTTAAGTTCAAAAATATGCGCTCTATTTTAGTTAAGTTTAAACATATTTTATTTTTCAGAATATATATACATGTTACAATTTACAATATACACAAAACAATTCAAATATTCTTAAAAAACAGGATTAGAAAGAAAGGCAACGTGTCTTATGAACTTCTTCTTAGTGAGCAATTGACATATAATAGTCGCTTAAATCATTACATGTTTGATAATCTGAGAAGCTGAGGACGAATATAATACAAACAATAATCATGAGTTTATATTTGAAAAAAGAAAACACATATTATGATATGTATTAAAATGCTTCAAGGAACAAAGTAATCAATGTCAACAGTATACAAATTGCGAAGTAACTTCTGTCGACCTTAGTCAAATTGTGTACACTCGATGAAGAAATGAAAGTTTTTTTTTTCTATTTGGTCACAAGAACATAAAAGTAATGCAATTACGTTTTTCAAAAACAAATGGTTTGAAAACTACTACACTTTCTTCGAAGTCTTGTATGAATTTTTTTTCTTTCACCAGAAAAATAATAGTTAGGCGTTTCCCGTTTGTTTTTCTTAAAATTGGGAAGATAATTCCTTTCCCTTATTGCAGTCGGTAAATTAGTTTAAGTGTTGTTCTAGCATATATACCCGGAATTTTGTCAATATTTCTTAGGTTGTACCTGTCATTAGTTGTTGTTGGAGGAATTGAGAAAAGATAATCTGGAGATTTTCAATTCTAAAAAGTAGGATAAGCTCTATTTTAAACATTTTAAAATGCCTTCTGCTAGGTGTTACATGTTATATATCATTTACACGTTTGAATACCTTTCAACTTTCTAGTAACAATCTGGTTTTCCATAATATTTTATAAAGTACAAAGTTAAAATATGATGTTTATTTCCCAAAGTAACATAAAATGAATGACTAAAATGAAAATGTAAATGTTATATTCAATTCATATAAAAATGTTACCACCACTACATGTTATGTTATAAGTTTGGTGTTAGTACAATATTGATAGAGAAACCAGAAGAACTATTGATATTTGAAAGATAGATAAACTTTATTCATACAAAGGCAATATGCCCATCAGTACACAGTTATAATACAATCAGCAGTTACATAACATCAAAGGCATGATATAGCATGGTATACATAAAATAGGTCTATTAAAAAGACAATTCTTATTCATCATAACATATCTAGTCTATAATATATGTGATAGTATACATATAAAATGTATATGATAACATCAATGACATGATATAAGCATGATATACATGAAATAGTTATATTACAAAATCGATTCTTATTCATCAAAACTTATCTAATATATTATATATATGACACAGTGAGAGGACAAGATTATCATTGATACAATGCACTCTCTTTTATCAAAACTTTTGCA